TCATGCTCTGGGTCATTGAGAGAAGGGGATGCTAAACAGAGGGAATGAAGGCAGAGTGATGCATCAGTGGCCTCAAAGGCAGCAATGACAGGATAATGGGATTAAGCAGTCATATGCAGAAGCATTAGTGAGAGGAGGAGTACGTGACAGTGGGAAGGTGGTGATCAGAGCTTATAAAGAAGGAAACGAATGGCTTTACGAAAGTTTAGTGGTGAAGTTGAATAGCTTCTTAGTTGTGGAAGTGTTCAAAGCAGAACTACATAACAGAGGAATGAGGGATGTTATTGTTAGGGACAATAGAGGAAGAATAGTAGTGATAACTTTTAATTCTGTTCAACAGATGAAGGAAGGGAAGGAACAAGTAGATAAGTGGGGTAAGAAGTGGTGTGATTCAGTTGATGAGTGGGGGAAGAGCCAGTTTGAGGAGCAAGAGAGATGTGTCTAGTTAAATTGCTTTGGCATACCAATTAATCTTTGGACTGTGACGACTTTTAGAAGCATTGGCAGCTATTGGGGGACTATTGTTCAATTCCAAGAGGATATTACTAGCCCACAAAATTTCCACCATGGAAGAGTACAAGTAATCACAAGATGTATGGAGTTGATTAATTCGGTAGTCTTTTTGGAATTCAAAGGTAAATCTATACCAGTAAGGATCTGTGAAGAACTACCAAAGTGTTTGTTTCCTACTTCCAATGAAAGCCGAGTGAAGGAGATGATGCAGTTGAAATCTAAAGGTTGTGAGACTGTGGAGGTGGATCAGGTGTCTGGCAATGGTGGGACAACAAGGTGTGATTACAGAGGTATTGTAGCAAGGGAGAAGGAGGTGGTTGGTGAAGATGATGAGGTCAGCAGGGTTCAGGAAACAGTGGCTGGTAGATCAGATGTGATACGTAGGGGTTATGATGGGAAGTATGAACCAGATGAAGTTATGGTGGGTATGGGAAAGGGTAAGGTAGGCGCTGGGTCCAAAGAAGAGGGTATGAATCAGGAAGTCAATTCACAGCAGATAATGATGACCAAAATTCAAAAATTGGATGGGGTTGTTGACAATACTGGACTTGCAAGTGCAGTGAATGGGCCGGAGGGGGTCACACCAAATATAAATTTGGAAGTAATTCTTGAAGGCCTGCAGGTTGGGCCTCAGCCTAGCAGATTACAAGTTGGGTGAGGCTCGGATTTGAGTGACTGTGTGGCCCAAACACAACTCAGACCATCTGAGGCCGATGTCTCCCATTTATCACATTCCATTATGGTTAAAAGGGCTAGGAAAAATTCAAAGAACAAGGCAGCAGTTGGTACTAAAGGTAATATATCACAGCAGAAGGGCATAGGGATAAAGAAAGGCTCCTGCTCTGTAGGCGGCCTTAGCAAACAAAGAAGCATGGTTGGAAGGCTTGGTTTTCAAAGAGGGGCACTATTCAGAGCTTCAGCAGTAGCAGCTGCAGCTGCTACTTCTTTGTCTTCGTCTCAGAGTCATGCAACACAAAGGAGGAAAAATTTAATGGAGGAAGCACAATCAACAGTGAAGATTGGAAAACTGTTGGGTTTGCAATGTCAAGGTAAAGAGGATGAGCTAGTCAACAAGATAGTGGAACTTGAAGAAAGTGATTTACAAGGAATTGCAGGTGAGGAAGGGGCAGTAAGACCTTAACAGGTTGTTAAGTAGGGGACTAAGGAGAAAATATAAGTTTATTATGCAGATTTTATCTTGGAATGTTAGAGGGCTAAGAAGGTCACAAAAGAGGGGCAAAATAAAGAATTTGGTGAAGGATAGAAGAGTGGATGTCTTACTTGTACAAGAAACCAAAAGGAATTCAGTGGAGGAGCATTTTGTGAGATCCATGTAGCCTTTTGAAGAGATGGGTTATATGATGGTGGATTCAAAATGAAGTGCAGGAGGGTTGCTATGTATTTGGAGGCCACAAGTGTTTGAGCTAAAAGACTGCTGCAGCAGTAAGCACTTCATTCTACTCTCAAGTACCTTGGCTCAACATTTTGATTATGTGATTGTTAATATATATGCTCCAAATGAGGTGTCGGGGAGGAAGAAGTTATGGGATTCCCTTGTGTGCTTACAACCCCATTTTCCAAATCCATGGTGTGTGGGTGGTGATTTTAATAAAATCATATTATTGAGTGAGAGGAAAGGGTATTCAAGAAGAGAGAGGGGGATGAAGGAGTTCAATGAGTTTGTGGAACAGTTGGAGTTGTCTGATTTGCCTATGTTAGGCAGAAAATTTACTTGGTGTAATGCATTGGAAGGGGATAGGTGGAGTAGGATAGATCGTTTTTTTATTAGACTCCCTTTGGCTAGAAAATTTTTCATTTAATCAATGGGGATTACCTAGAACAATTTCAGACCATTCTCCAATTTTGTTGAAGGAAGATGATAGGGATCGGGGTCCTAAGCCATTCAAATTCATTAATGCTTGGACACCGTATCCTATATTCTTGACTGAAATCAAGCACATTTGGGAGGTCACACAGGTTTCAGGATGGGCAGGGTATAGATTAATGAGGAAGCTATCCTCCTTACGGGGTCACTTAAGGGTGTGGAATAGGGAGGTGTTTGGTAATATTGATACTATGTTGAGGTCAGTAGAACAAGAACTACATGAATGGGATTTGAAGGCAGAAATTAGATCTCTGGATGTGCTGGAAACAACAAGAATGAGAGAGGTTAGAAGTCAGGTATGGAAGCTTAGTAGGGATAAGGAAAGAACATGGCATCAAAAGTCTAGATTGCTGTGGGTTAGGTGTGGTGACAGAAATACTAGATTTTTCCATCTTATGGCAAGTAGTAGGCAAAGAGTGAACTTGATAGATTTTGTGACAGTGGGGGGAGTGAGACATGAGGATCCAACTCAGGTGAAACAAGCAGTGCTTAGTCATTTCAGAAACCATTTTGCTGAAAGTTGGACTTCTAGGCCACAAATTTTTGGACCTTTTGTTACAATTTCTCCGGAGGCAGCAGTGGGTTTAGAAGAAATGTTTACTGAAGAAGAGATTTGGGCAGCTATTCAGGATTGTGATGGGAACAAGGCTCCTGGGCCAGATGGTTTTAACTTGGCTTGCATTAAAAAATGTTGCGAAATAATGAAAGGTGATATATTGATGTATGAGTTTCACACAAATGGGAAGCTGGCAAGGGGTGTTAACAGCTCTTTCATGGTGCTCATACCCAAGAAGGACAATCCCATAGGCTTGGGGGACTATAGACCCATCAGCTTGGTTACCTCAGTGTACAAGATTTTGGCCAAGGTGCTATCTAGAAGATTAAAAAAGGTCCTTCCCTCTGTGATAGATAAAGTGCAGTCGGCTTTTGTTAGTGGTAGATATATCTTAGATGGGGTGTTGATAGCAAATGAAGTTGTGGATTGGTAGAAAAAGTCTAAGAAGAAAGGCATTATCTTAAAATCGGATTTTGAGAAAGCCTATGATTCAATAAATTGGGAATTCTTGTTGGCAATGATGAGAAATTTTGGATTTGGTGTCAAATGGATTAGGCGGATGAAAGCTTGTATCTCTACAACTATGGTGTCAGTTCTTGTCAATGGTGCACCTACAGAGGAGTTCCAGCCACAAAAGTGGTTAAGGCAAGGGGATCCCCTTTCTCCATTCTTGTTCATTATTGCTGTAGAAGGGCTTAATTTGCTACTTGCTAAGGCTAAAGTACTGGGCTTATGTAGGGGTGCTACTGTTGGTTCCAATGATGTGAGTGTTTCACATCTCCAATTTGCTGATAATACTATTATATTCTGTGAAAGGGATATTGAGGATATTTCGAATATTAAGAGGGTGTTGAGATGTTTTGAAGTGATGACTGGGTTAAGAATTAATTATCATAAAAGTGTAGTGTGTGGTGTGGGCTTCCAAGAAGATCAATCCAAGGAGTTTGCTAGGGTTTTGAATTGCTTAACTAAGAAATTACCATTGTCTTTCCTTGGTCTCCTTTTAGGGGCTAATCCTAGGAAACAGAGTACTTGGGACCCAGTTGTGCAGAAGGTGAAGAAAAAGCTGGCCTCTTGGAAGAAGAAGCTTCTTTCCTATGCTGGGAGATTGACCTTGATCAAGTTAGTCCTTGCCAATTTGCCAATCTATTTTCTTTCTCTCTTTAGAATGCCTAAGGGTGTTGTTAAAGCCTTAGTCAAGTTGCAGTCATCTTTTTTGTGGGCAGGGAATGTTAATAAAAGGAAAGTGCACTTGGTCAAATGGAAGGAGATCACAAGAAGTAAAAGTCAAGGAGGTTTGGGTGTGAGAGACTTAGGTTGTTAAAGCCTTAGTCAAGTTGCAGTCATCTTTTTTGTGGGGAGGGAATGTTAATAAAAGGAAAGTGCACTTGGTCAAATGGAAGGAGATCACAAGAAGTAAAAATCAAGGAGGTTTGGGTGTGAAAGACTTAGGAGAGGTGAATGAATGCTTGCTATTGAAGCGGTGGTGGGGGTATGGTAATGAAGACTCAGCTCTGTGGAAAACTGTGGTTTGTTCAAGGTATGGTAGGAATAGAGGAGGTTGGCTTCAAGATCTGAACTTTTCAGGTGGGATGTCCATAGTCTGGTTGGACATTGTGAAATTGCTCTCAGAAAATCAGCAATTGGGGGATTTCTAAGGTGAGCATTTTAGAATTAAGGTTAGAAATGGAAGGAGAATCTTGTTTTGGCAGGATAAATGGCTTAACAATAGTGACCTGAAGATTCAATTCCCTAGGCTTTACAGTTTATCCACTGAGAAAGAGGAGTCCCTTCAGCGAATCAGTGCTAAGAAGAGTAATATGGAGCTGTGGCAGCTTAAATTTAGAAGGCAGTTATTTGTATGGGAAGTTGACGAGCTACAGAGATTGATGGAGTTGTTGGATATGTCTACAGTGCTAAGGTTTGATTGTGTTGACTCTTGCTTTTGGTTGGCAAATAGTTTAGGCCTTTTTTCTGTCTCTTCTGTGAGAAGATGGTGGGATGATCAAATAGGGACTGGTCAGGTTGTACCTAAAGGGGTATGGGTCGGTTTAGCTCCGCCAAAAATGCAGTTCGTTTGTTGGTTGGCTTGGAGAGGAAGAATAAAGACTGCAACCTTCCTTCAGAGGATTGGGGTGCTACATGTTTCAGCAAATAATATGTGTGTGTTTTGCCAAGCTGAGGTGGAATCCTTGAATCATGTGCTTATGTTTTGTCCACTGGTGTGGAAATGTTGGTCTCAAATGATAAGATGGAGTGGTCAGGTTTGGGAAATCCCTAGATCAGTTCAAGACTTGTTACAGTGGTGGTCTGCTGGTAAGAGTAAGCATTGGGTCTCTAGATTATGGGAGATAGTTCCAGCTGTTATGTTATGGTCAGTTTGGAGTTTGCGAAATAAATGTATGTTCAAAGGGGTACAACCCATTTTTGATGATTTTTGTGATAAGGTGAAGGTGCAGATTGCTCTGTGGGTAAAATGGAGTTTGGAGGTTGAGTATTCAGTTGATGATATTGTTTGCAATTTCGATCAAATCAGGTTGTCTGTTCAAACCCTTTGCAATTCTGCTTCAGGTCCTCTGCTGTAGGGTGCCTGATTCAGCTGCTTCAATGTGTGAATGGTCTGGTCTGGTTTGATTCTGCTTCAGGTCCTCTGTTTTGCTGATTGTTGTTACTGCTGTGATGTGAATGGAGTCCAGTTGTTATTTTGTTTAGAGATTGCAAATATCTATTTGTATAGGTTGCTCTTCTGCTAGTCTGCATCTGATATGGTCTGCTGATTTATGTGTTGGTCTGGTTGCTGTTGTGGTAGGAGTCAATGTTGGATGCTTCAATGGGATGAAGGTCAATGTGTTAGGTGGTTATTTAGGCTGTATATTGATCTGCAGCGCTGCTCCAATTTGAAGTGATTTCTGATGTGTTGCTCCAATTTCTACTGCTGGTTTAGCTTGGTATACTCAGCTTTGGTGCTGAGGTATGGGGGTGAAATCTGATCTGATGGTGCTGGTGGCTTAGCTTTGTGTGCAAGGTGCAGGAAATGTGTTGCTGAGGGCAGAGGTGTAGTCATTTGGATGCATGGGAGCTATGCCAAGTGCTGTGTAGTCTGGGGTCTTGGTGACTTCTTTCAGTGAGGACTGTAACTGGTTTTTTGGGTGGTTTACTGCTAGGTAGCTCCTTTCTGGTCTATATCTGAGTTTGTCTGCTGTTAGTGGTTGCTGTTGTCTATCTGTCATTTAGGTGTTGCTTATGCTTTGTTTTGTGTTGTTGGTTTCTCACAAACTTGGAGGTTGGAGATTTTTCTAGCTCCAAGCTTCTCTTTATTGATGTTTTGCCTTTCATATGTAATTTATATGTGGTTCATCAATAAAGATTTCTTTTGCCTATCCAAATAAAAAAAAAAGAATTCAACATTACCTTAACAAGCAGAGTCCGTAGAGAAAATATTCCCGGGGCGTCTACGCCATTCAAGTAGGCTTTGACTTCAGGTATACCCGAACCAGCAGCCTCCGGCGATGTCTATATCTGAGTTTGTCTGCTGCTAGTGGTTGCTGTTGTCTATCTATCATTTAGGTGTTGCTTATGCTTTGTTTTGTGTTGTTGGTTTCTCACAAACTTGGAGGTTGGAGATTTTTCTAGCTCCAAGCTTCTCTTTATTGATGTTTTGCCTTTCATATGTAATTTATATATGGTTCATCAATAAAGATTTCTTTTGCCAATAAAAAAAAAAAAAACTAGGTGAAAAGTCAATTAGTTACGATGATATAGGAATGTTAAACTAAAACAAGAGTGCCTGTTTTTTAGAACTCATTTAACTAAAATACTAGTGAAGCTCTATTTTTTCATAAGAATATGTTGACCTTATTACATCCATCCAATAATTTGATTCAAATTTGTGTGAGAGAGTGTTCGATAACCTCGTTCAACACTTAAAATTGAATGTATTAAGGGATAATCCATTAAATCTGTTTGATAATTATAATTGATATCACTTAAAAATTTAAATATCTCTTAAAATGTAGACTAAAATTTTATAAAAAAAAATTAAGTCATATGAAAGTTACTTAATTCTGACTGAATTTATAAATACGATATATAAAACTCGATATATACTATTATAAACTCACTTCACTATTACCACCACTACCACAACCACAACCGCCACCATCGTGCTACCGCTATCATTATCACTACCATTACTATCACTATCACCACCACCATGCCACCGCTACCACTACTACAGCCGCCACCGCTACTACTACCACTACTATCACAACCAACACAATCATATCACTACCATCACTACCATCATTGTTATTGCTACCACCACCACCTTTATCACCATTATCGTTATTGCCATAAGTACCACAATTACTTGATTACCATTGCTACCTGAGCATATCTGAGTAGAGGATGATGCTGCCACTGCCACCGCCACTGCCACCGCCACCGCCACCATTACCATCGCCATCATACCATCACTCCCACCACCATCATAATATAAAAATTGAAATATATAATTTAAAAATAATAAATTTTAAATTTGATCTTACATATATATCAAACAATTTATATTTAGTTCAGTACTTAAATTTTCATCAAACAATTTTTCAGCTTAAAAAATTCAACATTCAACTTTCAATACTTAATTTTTAATTTTCAATTTTCAGCTTTATCAAACACCACCTTACTTTGGCACTAAAATTATCTCAAGTTCTTATAAGAGTAAACAAATAGATAAAACTTACAATGACATAGGGGTCTCTGAGAAGTATATCAAATGTCAACCAGCAATTTTTTTTTTTTTTTAATCGGCAAAAAAGAAGCTTTATTGATGGAAAAACATATCGAGTATGACAACTTACATCAATAAAGAAGAGGGTGCAAAAAGTATCACAGTGAAACATACAGATCCCAACTAGGTTGGCACCGAGATGCACACCAAATCATCTGCTAGCACACACTCGGAGCTCCAAGTTGGTGAGAAACCAACATGCAGAGCAAAACAAAACAAACCAAAAGCAATAAAGCAACAAAACACTCTTTTGCTGGAGCATTAGATAGACTTATTACAGGTCTGGTACTGCTCAACACGACTAGCCTAACCACCAATGCTTCAGGACTAACAGCACAGCCCAGGAGCAAATCAAGCAGCAGTAGCATGAAGTGAGCCTGAGAAAATTGAGCATCAGCAGCCTAAGTACAGCAGTGCGCCCACCCTCAGCCACAACCATCTCAGCAACCATGCTCACAAAACAACAAAGCAGCCATGCTCACCTTAACATATTAGAAGTAACTATGGATTGGGGTCCTAAATTGTTTAGAGTAATTAATGCTTAAAGTCTATACCCAAGTTTTCTAGCTTTTGTGGAGAGGGTATGGAAAGAGACTGAAGTTGAAGGATGGGCTGGGTTTGTACTTCAAAAGAAGCTTAAATTA